GAGGAGTCAGTGGGACAGTGGGGAGAGTGGGGATAGTCGTGGAGAAAGTTGGAAGATTGGAACCGCGGTGGGAACAGTGGTGGGGACAGTGGGGGACAGTGCGACAGTGGTGGTGGCACTGGTGGGGACAGTAGGGGCGGTGGTGGAACCAGTGGGGACAGTGGTGGTGAGGACAGTGGCGCTGGGAACAACAGTGGGGGATGTGGTGAGGACGGTGGTAGGGACCGGGAGTCGTTTGCTGGAGGTGAGAGGGGAGGTGGGGAGGGGTTCGAACCGGCACCCCCCCCCTCTCCGGTTTTCGAGGGGGGGGGTGTTCGAACCGGTAGTGACCCCCCCCGGTTTTCGAGTTCGAGGGGGTAGGGGGGGTAGGGGAGGGGGGGGTTTTGCCAGGGGAAGGGGAGGGGGGGGAGGGGTTCCAGAGGGGGGGGGATTTTCGGGAGGGGGGGGGTGGGGACCCCCGGGCTCCGGAGGAAAAGGGCGGCAATTTTCCAGAGTAAAGCGGCGGTGGATCACGCTCTCTCAAATCTTGCGTCCTCATTCGCCAGCGGGCAACTGAGTCGGCTGTAGACTTCGAGCGCGATCATGGTCTACACGAGTGCGCAACTGAGTCGGCTGTAGACTTCGAGCGCGATCATGGTCTACACGAGTGCGCATCGCTCTGCAGTGGGGCTAACAATTTGCACGAGATTTTGTGAATGACATGCCGCTGCAGTTTCACTTCCTGGATACGTTCAGCGGGTCAGCTCGCTGCGTTGTAGCCGTCAAATCCATATCCTCATGCGAGAAGCATGGCGTCGATGAGATATCGGGGCGGGACTGCGATGACATCGCCACAGCTGTTGGGTTTTCCGCATTTTTCCTCACGTGTCACGCGCTTGCGCCCGGGGAAAAGTTTGGTTCAGCCCGCAATTTTCAATGCGGTGCAGCACAGTGAGGCACCATGCCAAGAGATCCGGCGAATTTTCTGGGGGTGACACTTCTCGGGCTGACATTGTGGAAGTCAACTACACGGCATTTCCATTGCGGGAAGGGCATGGAGCAGGTAGGCGCGTCATGTGCGTGGGTGTGCGGGCGCATTTGTCCGCGTGGGTTCATTTTGGTTTCGCGCGTGGCGCGTGACTGCAGTCGGGGTCGGGGGTGTTGAGATCGGGCGGCACTATGTCGCGCCCAGAACGCGTGGTAAGACATGGCAGGCGTGGGGCCGCCCACGCAGTGCGAATAGATATGTGCGAGTCGCGACGAGGAGGTCATGCCTGGCTGTTGTGTGCGAATATCGCAATGTCCACGTCACGATCGAGCAGCCCGTAAACAGTTTGTTCTATGCAGTGCCCGATGTCTCCAGCATGTTAAGCAAGATCAACGCTCACCGATGCGTCGCGTACGTCGGGGCGTTCGGCTCTTGCTCGCGCGAGCCTTTCGATTGATACTCAACATTGCCCTGTGCATCCATGCAGTTCTTGATCAAGTCCCAGCGCGAAGCATATCAGAGGGTCAGCGAGGCACGCTGGTTGTCAATGGCATTTTCGGTCCGGCAGCAAACCCGCTGGCGTGGCAGGGTGATGCCAAGGGAAGGGCAGGCGGGATCAGGGGGCGGCGCGACGCGTCATCCCCATGGACTTGCCCGCCTGCCCCTGGCCGCACCCAGCCAGGCCTGATGAGCTGGTGACGGAAACGGCCAAAGCTGATATCGCCCCGCTTGCTACGAAGCAGCCGAAGAAAACAAGCGGCTGGTGGGCAGGGAAGCTGGTCTTCAATCGACCCGGAGAAATTCGCCGCAGTGGGATCGCTGAGGCATCTCAGCAGCGTACCCTGAGAAATTCGCCGTTCCAGTCGGAAGTGCTGTCCACAATGCGTTTTCGACGCACTTCGAGAGCGAGTCTGATTGAGATCGCCGCGGCACGCGCATTCCAGCACTTGCCGCCATGATCAGCTCGCCCCTCCAGGCGGTCAGGCGAAGGGCTAGGCTCACAACGCTGGGGGAGAGGGGTGGCATGAGGGGTAGGGTGATTAGGAGACTGTGGGTTGGACTAGTGGTTGCTTGGAGCTTTTGCCCTGCCTCGGCCGCCTGGCTCCACGTGCCCTAGGTGTTGTGCGTGGGAGAGTTGTCGTGCACTGCGTTGCCCCGCGCGCTCACAGCGCGAGGGCCACTGCTCGCCAGTTGTGGTGATCGTTTTTCGAGCTTCGGACCGCCGCGCGATGGACATGGCGAGTTGAACAGGCGTGGGAGGCACCACGTTGCGTGCCAGCTGCAGATCCATGCCAGTCGGGTCTCGTATGTGCGCAGGTAGATGGCGTGCGAATGTCATGTTCAGGCGCAGTACCTAATGATTTGCTGCTTATATTTTTACATACATGTAACTTTTACGCGCATGCACATTCAACTATATACACATACAATGGCTTAGATGTAGAAGTATTTGTAGATGTGTACATGTACATACATATGAATAGTGTACAAGTGTATGAGTGTATGAATGATCATGTGCACCGCAAAGCCATG